ACCTCTACCTCTACCTCTACCTCTACCTCTACCTCTACCTCTACCTCTACCTCTACCTGTATATTGTTTATTATTATATCATTATATGAATTACATATATAATATTTTGTATTAAAATATATATATTCTAAAAAATATATCCACATCATGCAGGTCTTCTCAAAGTGAGCTCCATTGTATAGACTTGTCACAGGTAATTTTGGCTTATTGTCGCCTTTCGCACGGTTCAATTACTTGGGATTTGGCGAGGATGACATTCCTTTGTGTTACCTTGCAATGCCTGACTAACGCTAATTTCCGTGGGTATTTCTTTGCGTATTTTCGCCTGAAGCTAATGACATTTGTGTCAATAAAAATAATCAATCATTGGACCAGAGTGGGTAGAGTAGCAGCAGATGGCTGAGCAATCTTTGAGGATGATGATGGCAACGGCTTTGAAGGTGCTTTTGATGTGATACTCCGTGATGTGTGTCGCGATTGGGGGGCTGAGTATGCTGGGTATAAAAAGCGATTCTTAGGTTAGCTATTTAAAAATAAAAACTCCTTGTCAGATTCCTTGATGGATGTGTGTGTGTGCTGTGAAAACGTGGCTCAACGCAAATGCCATTTTGGCTAAATGCAACTAACATTGCCAGCATCAACTCGTACAAAGTTTCAAAACACGTAGATGGTCAGCAGCTGTGGAAAAAGTTATACAGAGAGAGAGAGAGAGAGAGAGAGAGACAGACAACAATTTCCAAATAAATTTTAATTGTTTTGAACAATTAAAAATTAAATTTAAAAAATAGTACGTGAAATATACGTGAAGAGCCATGGTGAAAAATTGTACTTTTATTCAATTTGCGCAACTGTTTTGAGTACGTGAGTATGCGTGAGTTTTCTCAGTAAGGCCATGTGTGTGTGTCTGTGTGCCTCTCTCTGTGTGTGTGTGTGTTGGCTGTTCAAATGCCGCTGTTGCTAAACAAATTAAATTAGACAACTTTTATTCATTCGTTTGACATTTTTATTTGTTTTCAAACTCATTTCGTGCAAGGCGAGAGCGGACTACTCTGACAACCGGACAATTAACAACAAATACAATTTGCAGACTTTAGTTTAACAATTTTTGCAACTGCTGTTATTTAATTGTTTGTCAGTCATCTCTCTCTCCACCTCACTCTCCATCTCTCTCTCTCTCTCTCTCTCGCGCTCTGGTTTCGTTTGTGCAAATTTAATTAAATGCCATTTGGCCGGTGGTCCGATTTGAATGGCGCCTGGCCCCAAAAAGCTTGGGGCCTCTGCGCCGCAGCTGTTGAATTGAGAGTTGTAGCAACATTTTAAAATTCATTTACAATTTTATGACACTTTCTTTTTCTATTTTCACATTGTCAGCAGCATTGATAAGCTCGCTTATCGCTCAATGATTGCCATCATCGGGGAAAAAAAACAACTGAAACATGACCAAACGATACCAAAAACGTCGGCATTTTTCATTACAATAAAAGTTTTGTATCATTCGGCATGCTTCAGTTGCAGATATCACGTGTAATGAAAATAACGGCGAGCACTCTCTGCAGAAATTGTTAAAATGTGGAATATATAGAATATAAAGATATATAAGATAACTGGACACGGATGCAAGCCAGCGCAACATCAACTGTATATATTTCAAAAATTGTGACAGATCAAATTTCATTTTCAAGTACTGCCTCTGTATATATGTATAATAAATGTGCACTTTGATTTTAAGTTGTGGAATTGCTAGTTATCTTTAGGGTGACATAAAGTCATCCTATTGCTGTATTCGATATTTATTGTGTATACTCATTATCTGACTACAAAGTAACTCCTCTGTTTACACTTGCCTGTGCAGTGTTACTAACTTTTAATCTAAATTTTATGTAGATAAATTCAAGTTGAGTTTATCTAGCACTCGACAAAATTGCGCTTTAAATTAAATTTATTTTTAAAATGTTCATATAAAAGAAATAAAAATGTACTAATAAAGAAAAAATACTTTTGTAATTCAACTTTTATTGTTCAACAATTATTGTTTAAATATCTTCGACTTACTACATTCATAAAATATTATTTTAAATTCGTAAAAAATAATGTTTTGCAAATCTAGGTAAACATTATTTCTGCTCGGAAATAAATGTATGTACATATACTATATTAAGCTTGAGTTCATCAAAAGAGTCAGTATTATAATTTCTCTTCTAAATACAACCAAAATTAAACAGAAAAAAATAGATATAATATTAAAAAAATATATTTAATTTATAATACTTAAAAAATATATTTAACAGTTTTTTTTCGAAAATAAATATTTATATAATTTATTTAATATTTATTTTTTATATTTATTTAATTTTTTATTGTTTCATTTATCTGTCGCTCAGTATGTCCTAGTCCTAATTACTTTTAGTGAATTTGTAGTCTATTTCTATGTCTGTATATATGATCTTTGAGGCGACTCTGAGGTCTTTTTGAATATCAAATTTGTAAAAGTATACCAAGGAGCAGCTTTATTGTATAGATATGATTCTTCTACATTTCAATATTTTATTTTCATCGCCCATGAATCAAATCGAAACCCTAATAATTTACAACTGGCATATTAAACCAATTAATATATAGTTAATGGAATTATCAAAAAAGCACCACTCATTAATAAAGCCCCGACTTCAAGACGCAATAAAAGACTCAAAAGTACTCGACGGTAAATGATAAGATCGTCGATCGTTTGTCGATTGTGTTGAATGGCGCATTATCAGTTTGTCTGTGGCAGTGGCAACAGCAGCGCTTGTCCCAAAAATAAAACTTATATGCGAGCAGACAAATTCATCTTATCTTCGAAAATCATCAAGAAGAAGTGTTGAAAAAAGAGGAAAAGATCAAAGCGAATACATTATCGAAAATGCCACTGCAGCTGCTTAAATTGCTGCTACTGTTGTTGCTGTTGAGGCGCCTCAGAGCCGAGTGTTGGTGAATATGAATGTGAATTTAGATGAGTACGACTCATATATGCTCAATTCGCAGCACCACAATGTTTTCATTTCACCTGGATAGGACCCTACGACAACAAATCGAACATAGCCAAGGAGAGCTGCGACGCCCGAGTGGGTGACTTCAATGAGATACCCTGCGAAATGCCCCTCGTAGTCACCCGTATGTATCTATCAATCGAATTTCAAGTGTGTATATCAACCCATAGCCGTGCAAAACTCACTTCAGCCAACGACACGGTGCCGGATGTGAAGGCCCTGTGGAGGAACGAGACATTGAATCGCGAGCATTATCTGTGCCAGATGTCGCCCGGCTACTCCTGCGTCAAGTACTCCTATATATTCAAGGGTGGCAGTAAGTACTCTCATAAGCTTGCACATATTTTTATATACGACTCCACACCTCTGCAGCAAAACAAACAACTGAATGAGGGATATAATGCTGTTTTCTTAGTATGCATTGAGTGTAAAGTAATTTTATTGAGATATTTTGCTGCTGAAAAAGGAACTAGCACATAAAGTAAAAGTGTTCTATTTGTTTTTAAGGTATCGGTGGCTTTTAAAGTATCTTGAAGCTTTTAGATATAAACTTGGATATAAACTTCATTCGATGGAGCGTAAAGATGTTGCAATATATTCGCAGTCTTCCAACTTCGTTTATTTGATTTTCTTTGATAGCTGCTAATGACGAGCTGGTATAAGAATCAGTTTTGTTCACAACTTTGTTAAAGTTAAGTCATAAAAGCTTTTATTGACTTTTATTCAGTTTGTTGGATTGCCTCTAGTAGCTTAAGCAAAAGCTAAAATCAGATTGATATATTCATAGCTCATAAACAGAAGAAGTTAGCTAGATTTGTAGAATATATATGGCCAGAAACTAATTTTTAATGATTGACAAGCACTCAAAAAGTCATCAATTTTATTTATTTATTTATTTTTATTTTTTTTATTTTTTTAATAAAACCCTTAATTTTATAGGCTTTTAGAAACGAATATGTGGGCCAAAGGTATTTTCTAATTATTATTCTATTTTTATTTTTTATATTAATTTTTTATTTATTATTATTTTTTGATTGTCAACTTCAAACGCCCATCAACATGAAATATTAATTGAAATAAAAAAAGTGCAAATTCTAAATTGTAAATTGAAAAATTACTTTTCCGTTGATCAATATATCAATATATATTTATATGCATATATTTTATTCCAGTTTCTTACATTTATTTGAGCTTTTATAAAAGAAAACATTAATCGAAGTACTTTTCAAATGTTTAATAAACATTTTTCCTATTCCATTTCATATATAAAAATTTCACATATACCTTCGCTTGCAATTATTAAAAAAATGTTAATCAATTTCTCCGCTCACTTTCATTGAACAGTACAGAATATAACGTATATGTGTGCCAAGGTGAACAACAGCAACGGCTGCTACCGCGAAACCCAGTCGACGGGCATGCAGGTGGAGGCTTGTGTTTGCACCTCTAAGCTGGGTCTGATACCCTGCAATTGCAGCCCAACTGGGCTGTCTCGACCCATTCTGGGCTTGGCCATGGCACTGCTCAGCGTTTTTATTGCTGTTGAATAAACAAAAAACTGAAAAGAGTAAAAATAAATGTGAAACAAAAAAAATAAACAAAACAAATAAATAAAATATTGTCACTGATAACTCGTTGGGCACTTCAATGCGATCGGAAGTGCAATTGGCAATTTGTTTAGTTAACGTCAGCGAGGCGTGGCAGAGGGGGAGGGGGGCAGACTGACATTGTGTATGCTTCGCGTAGTTTGTCGTGAGACTTCGGCCTTTTCCACAATGTAATGTGACATTTCCGCGCTTTTGATTTTGACAAGTTTGCACAATTTATGGGCTCTTTTTATAGGCCATATATTATTTTTTATGGTCTGGCATTGGTAACGCGTTGGCTAAATAAACTGCCATAATTTATTTACTTGGCCATTAATCAAATGCAACGATCCCAAGGACTCCACACGCACGCCATTTATTTGACTGTATTGTCTAAAATATATTTTTTGCGAATATAAACTGTTTATTTTGAACCGAAAATCCTTTTAACAGCCTTTCAGAAACTACTATGCACATAATTTACTTTTTAATTTCACTAAAATGGAATAAAATAATATAGAATAATTTCGATTTTACGTTTTTCTTTATTTTCGGGTAAATCTTTATTAAAACTGCAATTTTGTTGTGTGCATTTCGTGAAACGTGTTGCCAGCCCGGCCCGGACAACAGAAAAATCTCAACTCAATAATAACAATAAATAAACAGTAAATCAAACAAACCGTAAAATATTGTCACAGACAGCAGCGGCATAATAATAGGCCAGAGGCGAAGGAGGGGGCGATGGGGGGACGGGGCAGTCGCAATGGGTTGCTGAACTGGAGACCATGACCAAATGGCAAACAATGCAGGCGATAAACAGAGTGCGAGCGATGCTCCAATTGCCGGCAGGGCTATGCGGCGTATGAGCAATGCGCACAGTGCACAATTAAAGCACTGCACTTGGGTAGAAGGGGCAGTGGGGCAGTGGGTGGGACTAGAGCGGGCTATGCAGATTGCCAGTGGCCAATATCCATTGGCAGAGCTGTGAAGGGGATGGTGGTCATCCAATGCATTCAAATAAACTAATTTTAATTCCTCGCTCTTCGGCCGGGGCACGCAATGCAGCTCAATTGTGACGCAAATGGATATTAAAGGCCCGCACTGGGTGTTAATGCAAATAGCTAACTGCAGGGGCAGGGTCAAGGGAGAGACAGCGGCGCTGACAGAACAGTTATTCGTAGCAATGGCAGACAGATTCATTTATTTAATTTATAAATTACTTTTAATGTTTTTATTTGAACTGAAGCGGCGAAAACGATGCGAAAAAGAGTCCCGTTAAAATGACCAATTGCAAATTATGACGTTATGCGATATGAACTCTTGTTAACTTGGAAAATCTTTTATGATCGGCTCGATATTTGCATTTCCCAATGCTTCTTGTTGCATTCGCAATATGCGTGCGTGCCGATGCGACAAAATAATGCAATTAATATATTTTTAAACATTCTTTATAAGAAAAAAAAATTAACTCTTTTATTTTCTTTAGTATTCATGTGTTTTTTAGTAAAGAACTAAGTTTTTTGTGCAGTTTTAATTTACCTGTTGTAGTGATAATAAATGTGTAAAGAAAAAACTTTTGCAGCGCAGCTTAAATATATTACTTATTTCTTATGTGATATCGGATTGTAATGTAAATAAACCTGTTAAAAGATTTCACAAAATATTAAAGCGGAAATCTCAACAAATTTCAATTGAAATCAATATCTGTCGTCAATTTTATTGGTATCTTGAATAAACTGTTTACTTCCAGTTAAATTTCAGAGGAAATGCAACACAACTCAATAAAGTATTTGGGTTACGTAAATAAATAAAATAAAGAAATATGATTATATATTGTAAATAAAAGCTGAGAGCGTCGTTAATAATTCACTGAGCACTCAGATTGTGTATTATAATTTTTTTTTTTTTTTAATATTTCAAGAATATTTATTCAAGATACCATTTTTATTAGCTGACTAAGTAGGTTTAGTATAGGTATAGATATATTTTTTTAATTTATTGGGTTAGCTTTATCACTCTTAAGTGAGTTGAATCTTGAGCATTAAATACTATATTAACACTATATTAAATACTGATCATCCATTTGGCTTAGCATTTAATTTCAGCTAATATCGCCAGTAAATTCCTTTTTAAAATAAAAATACCCATATGTACCCATATGCTATATCTCAATCGTCATTTCTTTAGCGAATTCAGAGAACTGTTATTTTCTGGAACACAGTCATCTGTCGCAGCAGTCAAACTTGCAGAATAAGCGATTCTGCTGAAAGGAAAAACAAAAACAAAAAAAAAAAAAAAACAAAAAAAGCTACAAAAATGCAATTGAATCGCG